TTGCAAGAGTAGAAGGAATTATTTAAAGTTGAACACAAGGAGCACACAACTGTGGTTAACAAAGCCGAGAACAATGAGTGAAACCGGATAGCAATGAAATGTCACTTCTCCTTTTGAAACAGCACTGTTTGTTATGTTATGTTTCTTTGTACAGCACCCTGATGCCAAAGAGAACAAGTTTGATTGCTTCACTCTTCATGAAACCTTAGTAAACAGAATTCTTGAGAGGTCATTCAGTTGATTTCAAGCCTTTTCCAGTAACAAAGGAGAGAAAGGTGTGGGAAGGGCAGGAGGGGGGTACATCTCCTTAACTGTCAAGTGTTATCTTCCTAAACAGGATATCCTGGTATCAGAATAGAGGTCAGACAAACAGACTGTTTATGAGTCCTTTGGTCGTTTTATTTAACGACAAACAGACTGTTTATGAGTCCTTTGGTCATTTTATTTAACTCAACATTTCCTCATTAATCCTTTCCCAATCATCTAGGGCCAACTTGCATGGTAATTAAGATTGCCCACATGCAGCAGGAAAGCCATGTGGAAAGCTGCCAGGATGTCCACACTCTGTTGCAACGGCTGTTTCTCTGTCTTATAAATTGTGGGAGCTTCGGGTCACCCTGTTTATGAGTCCTTTGGTCATTTTATTTAACTCAACATTTCCTCATTAATCCTTTCCCAATCATCTAGGGCCAACTTGCATGGTAATTAAGATTGCCCACATGCAGCAGGAAAGCCATGTGGAAAGCTGCCAGGATGTCCACACTCTGTTGCAACGGCTGTTTCTCTGTCTTATAAATTGTGGGAGCTTCGGGTCACCTCCTTGTCTTACCACCTCCTGAGACATCCAATCCTATCTTTCAGCCATGAAGCTCTTGGCCATCCTCTCAGTTGTTCTCTTCTTTGTCCTGATGGCTGCTTCAGGTAAGAGGTCTTCGTGGACTAGATGGTACATTACTTCAGGATTAACGTGCAGTTTAAGACCCTAGTCTTTTTGATTTCCTTCATTTTGTTTTAATATAATCAAGTGCAGCCCTCCTCCAAATTGGGTCCTGTGGGAATGCTGAAAATGTTAATTGTAGAAGCATAGAATTATAGAAGAGTGAAGTTGGAAGAGATCTATAAGGCCATCAAGTCCAACTCCATGCTCAATGCAGGGAATAGTTTAACACCAGTGTAGCACGTTATTTTTCCCCCTAAACATCTTGAAGTGGGAAGGAAATGAAAGCAATTTAATTTAATTCAATCTCATCTTAACTGCACATAACATCCTTAATGTAGTGTGTGGTAGAACTCAAACTCTTTCTCAGTGGGCATTTTTGGCTCTTCGCATCCCCTAGAAGGAGCAGGGTGGTCAGGTGGACATCCAGTTCCTTGTTAGGGAGGCCCTAATCTGGTGGAGGCATCTCTTCCTGCAGGGACTCACCTTTCTAGTCCCTATGGATTTCTGTGCTTTTGTATACAGTGGTGCCTCGCTTAGCGAGTGCTTCGCTATGCGATGAATTCGCATAGAGAGGGGGTCCGGGCCATCGCTGGTGCGTTCGCTCAGCGATGGCCCCTATGGCGATTTTTCGCTTTGCGATGATCGCTAAGCGATTCGCTTTGCGATGATCGCTAAGCGATTCGCTT